TTTTTTTTATCCTCTCCACCTTCATCAACTTTTCGCCCGTGGCTCTCATCATTCCCCGGAGCGGGAAAATGATCGAATGAAAAATGTTTCATTCATAACTAGAGAATTAAAATGAGATAAAAAAGTTTTGATTGATAATTAATCATTTTGCATGCGAACACGAAAAAAATCTGGCATTCCAGGGGAATAAAACAATTCCCTGAATTTAATTTTAGAAGATGATTTATCATATTGAGTGAAATAAAATTCAAGAAAAGCCGAAATAAAGTATGGGAGTTTGAATGGAAAAGTTTTTCTCGCTAGTTAAAAATTTATCTCCAACCAGAGGATATAAGACGAGAAAAAAAAAATAGAGGAGAAAAAAAAGGGGAGAAGGGGTGAAATCACGGTGGTCGGTCTATGACGATGCCTGGGGGCATCACAAGAGTAAACTCTTCAAAGTAAATGCTATCTACCGAGTTTTCTTACAATTGGAAGGACTCACAAAAGAGCCAGTTGTGCCTTTAAAACTGTCATTAAATACGGACAAGTGAGTTCGATCAATTTATCCCTCCGAAATCGAGTGGGAAGCAATTTAAAGGGGATCGCGGTATGTAATACAGGACTTTTCCACCATTGTTCTCCTTTATTCTTGCTGAATTCATCCAGAACTGCGATGAAAAAAAAAATTCATCGACATATTGGACTTTAATTTGATTTTTCATGTTGAACAGAAATTGAATTAAAAATTCTATTGCCATTCAAGGGGTTACACAGTGATTCCATTTCCCATCGAATTTTTGTATGTCGATTTTTACATTAACTCCGATGCCCGTATCGAAATATGGAAAAAAAAAATATGTTGTATGTGGGAAAGAGCGACGGATACATCCGGGTGGTGGAAAAACGTCACGTTTCCAATTCCTCATGTGCTGATTTTGCATGTCATATCGGGGATACGACAGCATTTCATTACTTTCTAGGTCATTGACAGGACTCATATGAAAATGCCAATATTTCAAGTCCCTTACATTGATCCGTCGCATTGAAAAATGGAAGAGCTGCTCATTGGCATCACCATTGACTTCATTAAAATTTTACACCATTGGAAATCATGGAATTTCACTACCTCAAGGGAATCAAAATTAAATCAAACATCAACTTTATTTCTGTGTTCCTAGACAAATATTTATAATTATAATCGATTATTCAACGTTCAGATGAGGAATGAAATTCATTCAACGTAATCAGAGCGCGAATGAAACTATTATTTAATTTCTAATTCAGCGTTCAACCATTTGCCAAAGACAAATAATTAACTATCCGAATATGAATTACCGATTGAATTCTGCCCATTGCATATTCTTCGGCATTAATTTACCCTCAATTTTGTTGATAGAATATACACGGGAAACAGGTAATATGTAAAGAACTCCACATGGAATTTTCGAATGAAAAAACGTAGGACAAATCCATTAGAACAGTATTAACTCCATCGAAATTTCACAGCCCCAGATAATTGTAATTATACAGGAATTATTGGAGTAATCTAAATGTAAAATCCATTATCCGACTTCATGATTACGCAATCAGAATAAATAATAAAATTCATTCATTAACTCTTCCAGTAAATTTTACCTAATTAATTGTTCGTTAATCTTTATTATTCATTATACCGAAGCAGTAATCACTCCGTAATGCTCCAACTGCAATGGTAACGATTTTCTGGCGACAGTAATATTAATACCTGATCAAAACACGGTATGTTCAACTACAATGGGCCGCTTAATTTCACGCTTATTCCATTACACCAAGTCCGAAATGTCGGCCCCATATATCGCACTCCGCCAATGGTCCCCTGCATACGAATTTCCAATTCGTACCGTCTAGTCCTGCAAACGCATTCTCAATCGATTCGACGAAAACGTCAGCAGGATTAGACGAATACCCGGAGACAGTTACAACGCATTAAATTCACCAATTTAACTTGTCAATTTGCAGCTACGTCGACACAAATGAACACCCCAGGGGTTGGAAATATTAATTTCCATTAAATTTGACCCAAATTCCAGAGAGAACTAGCCACCACGCCACGACGACTGTTTCTATTTTCGTATTCGTCATTAATGTTAATGCTGTTTTCGTCATTGATGAAATATTAATTTTTTTCATGGACAAGTTGAAGGCAAATAATTTCCGATGTAATGAGTGACTGAAAATGAGTCAACACTCACTCCTTGACTCACCCTCAACCCCGTAATCCAGCCCTAATTTTCGTTCTAAAATAGTCTACCGAGGCTCATACTGCCTCGACCTGCGCATCAGATAATACTGTCCCTGGAAACAACGTATATTGGCCTGAGCCCTGAAACTCGGGTGAAGGGTGAGTGCCGTATACAGGAGTTTATGTACACAATTCAGACACGAAGGATTAACCGTTACGCGTTCAAGCAATCACGGGGTTGGTTTCCACACTGGTGTGTGTATTACGCACAACACCAAGAGGGAATATCGGCGTAATTAAGCCCAACGTGAGGGCACATGCGTGCCTAAACGTAATGAGAGTCGGTGAATATCCAGTGGGTTTAAAGTCAAGGAGGGAGGAGGGGGAGGTTTCATGCGGTAAGTGCGGGATATAAATTTGTCTGGTTAATGGATTTTGATAAAACTTCAGTATTCGAGGATGAAGTGTTTCACCTTCGAGCATTTATTTTCAAATTTTCAGCCATTAGGAATTTATTATTAATTTTTTTGCGGTAATATATTGAGTTGTGCTATTTTTATGGATAGCCGATCAACTGCACCCACATCCCATCATTCTCGTCAATCAGAAACAATTGATTTGACTGGAGATAGGGTAAAGCCTCAAAGAGATGATGGTTGAATATGAAAAACCTCATGTTTACAGTATGACGATGATTGAAGAGATGTCTCCATTGACCCGCACCAACATATTACACTCTTCCATGGGTCACATCAAGATTCACCCAGATAAATTGAACAAAAAGAGCCCTAACGTTTAACAAAACAGAGGACAATGCAAAGAGACGTCCCTCAATATGTCACGCGAGGCAAATAGACGAGCCACACTGGATCTATTGTGACAGTTTGTCATTGTGCTGATAAAATTGTACCCAGTGTGTGTCGTCCACCCGACTTTTTAATCCACCCCCGTATTGTTTCGTGATGAATCAATCAACTCCAGTAATTTCCACGGAGAAGGGAAAAATAACTGGTTTTTTGGCGAGTGGTGAAAAAATAAAATCTATTTGTTCAGAGAGGCGTGAGGTACGTCGGGATCTGACGAATATTGAAACAGAAAGATCTCGTACGGTTTCTCTCGGGTTTCGGGTTACGTCTGTGGCTGTGGCACATGAATGGAGACGACTGGCAAAAAAGTGTTAAAAAGATCATTCGCGTGACGATACCACTGGTAAATGTCGATGTTTATCGAGAGGCCAGACATTGATACCACAGAAATAAGTGATGGCAAATAAATAAATATATTTCATCCAAATGAAAATGCGGTGTAATTAGAAAGCAAAAAATGGGGGGGTGGGTTGAAGAAAATACGAGTGACCGAGTGTTTAGAGTCAACGAGCGAGACGTAGATGGGTGGAGCTGTCCAAGTAGGAGAAGAAATAAACGAACCATGACAGCAGTTAGCGAATGAAACGGAGGAAAATAAAAAAAAGGCGGGTCTCTACAACTTGCTGGACGAATTGGTATCATAACCGGTGGTACCAAGTCGTAAAATGCAAATCGATCTCTTTCACCCAAACGATCCAATTTACCAACAGCAGTACAAACTCCTCGATACATGCATCCGTGGTATATCGAAACCACTGGAGTAACCGAGTGGTGGGACAAGTGTGTGTGGTATTCCCGTGGGTAATTTCCCCTCAGCAATTTTTGCTTGGTGACCCCGAGGGTTATATCAAAAACACGAGTTAAGAAAAAAAAAAATGGCTTTAAAAAAAAAGTTGCACTGCAACGTCAGCTGCATGTCTTACCGCAAAAGACGGGAGAGACAATTTTCTTTTCGTGGGCAAATGCAAATCCCGAGTGCCACTGTGATAAGACAGCGGTAGCGAGGGGGTTGAGGGAGGGGGAGGGGGTGGTTGGTAGATACGGCAAAGGAAAATTTTTGCGGGCGGGGAAATACGGAGATTCCGTCGTGACACGGGGAAATTGTTTCGTTGTGACATTCTAATTTAACGAAATGTCGCCTGTGGCGGACGTATGGCAGTTTGCCGGGGGATTTTTCGGCATTAGTTGGTGGTTCTTCAAATTATTGGAAGATTGCGGTCCCTCGAATCTATCGGTTATCGTTTCCAGCACGAAGGGGGTGAAAGGAACGGCAATAATCGATTGTAAATGCTCATCGATATCTCATGTGGTAATGATAAAATTTCAACAAGTTCAGTGGCACTTTGAAATCCGGGAAAATAATTCAGAGAAAAAAGAAAATGACACTAGCCCCCGGGGTATCGTCATTTGTATCAAATGGTAAAATACCGCGGTATGAATTAATTCCCAAAATGATTATCTCCACAACAAAAAAAAATTTGTATTCAAGGCCCAACTCTCGGCCCCAGCCGCGATAGGACCGACTAATGGTATTCAAGCGGGTAATAAAAAAAAACTTAATAAAGAAATTCCTCATCATCTGATATTATTTCCCCTCAACTCGGTCACTCTTGGAACTAACGTAATCGCGTCACGTATTTTATCCCTGCATAAATATGAATGTTTGCCGCGTTGTTCATGCTCACGGAGTCTAGAAATCCCGGAAAGTGGCCATTTACCTGACCAGAGGGGATCCAGGGGAGAGTGAAATAGTATAAAAGCGGGAGAGGATGCCGTAGAAAATCATCGTGATACCCGAGAATCCCTCATATTTCTGATACCTCATAATGCGGATAACCCAGAGTAATGGCTGCACCAACTAGCCATAACCAGACGGCAGTTGTAAAAATAAAAAATAATAAAAAATAATAAAAAAATCAAATGCTACTTACAGTGATCTTGAGATCCCGTGGGTCGCACGTGTCGTAAGAACGAGTGAATCGCAGAACAGTATGAGTCTTGTTCTCGTATCCCAACAGCAGGTAGTAGTCCTGACTCGAGTCCATCTGGGGATCTTTGTTCGAGTCCTTCACGTGTCGGTCCTGGAGCAAAAAATTTACGGGTGGATCGTTAATCACGATGTCAAAACACTTCGGGGGAATTAATCCCATAATCAGTTGGGGGGAGAAAAAAAAATGCGGGAGTTGCCGCGTCATCGGTGGTAATTAAGAATTTGAAAAAAATGCGGAGCACCGCGGAAGTGCGAGGGAATTCCCGCACTCGGTGGGATTCTCATGTCTCATTTCGAGACACTAGGACTATGCGTGGGACGGAATGAATATTGCCCCGAGGGAAGCCCCATCCTGGCAGGACGAAATTGATAGGCCAGTGTCTTTGACCGGCCTCTCTACCTTCAACAAAACCCTCCAAGGATTGCGTTACGCAGAATACAATATCGGGTAAACTTGGAATTTCTGTGAACTCTGGGATTTTGTTTCCAATGCGCCATCGGGGAAAATAACGATTGTAATTGGCCGGAATAAAAGGAATGTATAGAAATTTGTTTCTTCCCCGTATTTTTTTTCCGCAGTCTAGTGTCAATTATTGAATTGAAGTTCTGCGATAAAAACCACGAGAGAGGAAAAATGGGGATGTCAAAATGAAAGAGGTGAGAATAAAAATAAATGATTTCTTCAGGCATTGGCAGGTTTTCACTGTAAACTAAAGTGGTTTTCGCGGGATGAAAAAAAAAATGGGAAGAATAAAAAAAAAATCCATTGCCGAGTGGAAGGATGCGAGAATAACGTATATACTGTGAGATCGATCGTTAAGACGCTTTTTTTGACAGGCAGTCTCGCTTGTGTTTTATCCAGTAGCACCCTGTTTTCTCGACTCGAGTGTCACACTTCTTTCTCTCTATTATGGGCATCCGATAGTCCCTGGGGCCCTCCAAGTCACGAAAACATAGACCACCCGTTTCGTCGACATATAGTTATAAGACCCGGCGAATCAATTTTATGCACACAGACCACATTGGCATAACTCGTCTCAACATCGATGCAACGTGTCGAGTGTAGAGGGAATTGGTAATGCTGGTGAGGTACAAAGAGGATGGATAAAACCTGAGTAGTTCTCGCCGACGTTGGGGGACAAGTTTTTGCGACTCCAGAGATTCCAGCCCGCCGCCTTCGATAATAATTACACGGGGATGAGGTTGAGGTGAGTGTGGCTCTTGCATTATTGTTTGCTCGTAAAGGTGGAACCCAACATCGCCAACCGGTGCTACAATTTTTTTTCTCTCTCTCCTATTTTTTTGCTTTGCGCATGCCGTTCGCCCGTTGAATGTATTTTCGCATTTTTCCGAAACTGTTCGACTAAACCCGCTGAAATAGTTTGAAATTTGAATAATTACCATGCCCACCGGAAATTCAAGCTGAAACTGTTAGGGGGAATAAGAGGGAAACAATCAGGACGATCACGTTCTCGAGGTGCACCACGTGTTTCAGTCAGAGTCACGCGTATTATTCTCTCGATCCTCGGATTTATTCTTATTTCACCCCGTGGGCTTTTGTGGGTGCGTGAAAAATTGCGAGTGATTTTTTGGATTCTCGAGTCAAGAGAGAATCGGAGGAGAGCCATCGACTTTGAACTCCGACCGCTTGACTCCACTGGAATTTTGTCGAGAAGACCCATTTGATTCCCCTCGCAGCATCTCACACATGGACCAGAACCCTCGGAGGCACTCCCAGCCGTGGCATTGTTCTCGCGGTTAAAAAGGGAGTGAATAAAAATCATGATAAATAACGCAATAAAAATAAAGCATCTAGAGGAGCCCAAATAGTTCTTACGCTCTGTCCCTGCCCCCTTACGACGGATTTCAGTCATAAATTTAATCCCCACAGTTTGTTTCATTTATTTTTCCTCCTCCGTACACCCCATGTTTTTCCCTTTTTTTTTTAATTCACAAGCGATGCTGAAAACAATTGGGCACGGCATGCAGCGAGAATGGGCCGCCCTCGAGAGTGTTTATTATCGCGAGAGCACGCGATGGTTTCACACCCGACTCCCAGCTCCGTGACACACCGACTGTTGTATGAAAAAAAAAAAAAAAAAAAAAAATATTCACCTCAACCCGGTTGGTGGCTACAAAGGATGAGGGTATGAGTTTGTGCACCAAAAGCAAAAGAGGGACCTAGGGTATCACACACGTCGAGGTGCACATTGTTCCATAAATAAACCCGGGGCATAATTGTTTTGCATTATGTCCCCGACGTGTCCGTGTTTTTGGCCACCAGGCGAGAAGGGCTGGTCAACCCCATCGGCACGAATCCCTCAATTTCATTAGACTCGAAAAAAATGAAAAAAAGTACTCCTTCATCTCCTCGTCTCATTCACCCCGGATATTGCAAAATATTACAAAAACTTGCTCTTCCAAAAAGGAAACACTACTTTACCGAATAAAAAACAAATTCAATGAATATTCATTCCGTCAATTGATTTATCCTACGCCATCATTCCCGTGCAATTCCTCTCGACAATAATAATTACCCTCGATTCGTTACACCGCAATTATACCAATTACCACTATCCACAACAATTGATTTCCCTTCCTCCTCCGGTGAATCTCTCCCGCATTTTAAAGCCCCTCTTAACCCAAGCGGCAAACATCATAGACTTGGTGGTTTTTTTTTTGTTTAAAAAAAAAAACCCCGACAAACCTCTCCTTAAAATCCACCTCTCTCGCGCACATACACCGCCTTGGGGATATACTATACGATGCAAATGCCGGTTGAGTCGTTTATTTCATGGGAGGCATTGAGAGTCCAAAGAAAGCCAAGAATAATCGTCCGTTTGTCCACGGGAGAAATACACCAATGGGGAATATATTCAGAGAATGGGAATATTCAAGAGCAAAAGATATATCGTCAATTCTTTTTTTTTTAATTCCCTCTTACTCGCCAGAGGACTATCCTTTTTACACTCTACCTAGCTTCTAATACCCGCTGTATATTGTCGAGATTGTATCGTTGATTTTACAGCTGATACCGCACACGGGGTAATACATCATTTATTTATGGTGTTTTTATGGGCATTCTATCTGTTACTTGTGAATAAACTTTGCAGGGGGTTGAAGAAAATACAATAATCGGTGAGACTGAGGAATGGTGTCGATTGCGTCAGATCAGGATGAGACTCTCCACCTTCTCTGAATTTTGCCAAAAGTTTTCACTTTTCCTCAGATCTTCTCACCCTTCCCGGACTTCCCAAGCTTCAAAATCTTAGAAAAGATTTGTAATACAGTTTTAATTAAGCCGATTGTAAGGTGTAACTCGATTTTTTTTCACTTTTTTTCATTTCCACCCTAAAGTTCAAACGAGACGACGGGAAATCTCCCCCTGCATGACACCGCAAAATGAACCCCTCGTCATCTACACCTTGAACAGCGCCCCCCCTATCGTCATGACTTTGTAACTGTACCCTGGCCTCGGTAGAATCGTAAAATTGATAAGTGATAATGCTGATACGCTGATAGCATAACAAGTACGACGAACATGTCCTGTGTTAAAGCTGCACACGCAGAGCAACAGCGATGCATCGACACGCGACCCAAACGTTAAAAAAACGGGATTGCCTCTTACACGGTGGCTGTTTAAGGTTATAAAAAGCCGTCGGTGGGGCGCCATCATTCGGTTAAAATAATCATTACAAGAGTTGTGGAGGGGATGGGAGGGTTGCAGTGTACACAAATGCTTTTATCATGTTCGCATGAATGCATAAAATTCAACGGCAGGGACAGATAACAAAAAACACGAGAAAAAAAAAATTGTTGAAATGGGAAATAAGTGGAATGCTGGAGGATTATAATCCCGTTGTTCCTCTCGTGACAATGTACAACACCGGAATATATATATATATTTTTTTTTCCTATTTTTTCTATTTTTTAGCCCTTCCCCCTCGTCCCAGTGTCAAGGGATATCAATAATTTATTTTGCCTTTCCGCGCAAACGACTGGGAGAATAATCGAGGAGTGAAAAAAAAATGGATGAAATAGTACAGTGCTGTACAGTGCAGGGCCGCTTTAGTGTTGTAGACACCCTGGAAATCGATATTTCCCCAGTTGAATACAATGGAGGAGAGGAGAGTACCGACGATTTATCGGACTTTCTCGCCGATCCGGCCTCTAGGCTGCGTATATCGTTATATCATACCGATCGAAATTTTTTTTTTTTGCCCAAAGGTCCGAACATGTTAACCAGATTCAGGTTTTCTTGACGAGAATTAGTCAGAGCCTCAGAATAATTTCTGTGGAAGATACACAGAAGACTAGGGTGTCGGCATAATTTTTTATTCATCACTGCAGAAAGATCGTAATGCAAATGAAATGACCGGAGTACTTGCGTATTCCGGGAGGAAGACAAAAACCCTGGGCGTTACAGTTGGATGAATTTTTCGTCTCAGAGAATCGAGGGGAAACGATACATTTCCGGCGAAGGTGTTTAGTGAAATAACGTCGGGGTTCAATTATAATATGCAAAATCGAGGGATTAATGATGAGAGAATAGACGGGAAATGCCGAGCCCGTTGATTTTTCCGGTCCTCGTGCAAGTGAAAAAACGTTGATTTATTCAGACCATCGGTAGAGGAGGGAGATTTTTTTAATAATAACTCTTTTTTTGTTTAAACGAGTTAAATAGGGTGCATTGAACTGAAGCGGGTACGATCGATCTCACTTATTCAATTTGAATGACGTCCTCAAATCCCAACGCAGCCTCTATTCACGGTAATAAACGTAAGTTTCAATTAACGAGTGCCCATTGTACTGTGCTGTTACGTCGGGAGGAAGATCGAGGGCTGAGGGAGATGCGTTTGTCTGAGAACCTGTGGATGTTGTAACATCGGATAACAGGTGATGCGGAGACACCCGGCATCACGCATCAAGGAACTCGATTCTCTACCGATTCCACCCCTGTGTGCAGATCCCTTTTTCTACGTACACTTTTTTTCTCATTACTCATCAATATCGCATCGAGCTAATTGAATTTTCAATTATCTAGTCGACGAGTGCTTGATCGAGCGTCGCGCGCTTCCAGTTCGAATTTGC